AGTCGTTATTCGGGAATCTCTCCACGTTAGAGGTCCCAAAGATCTGGCGTCATGGGTGGCACTATATTCCGTAAAGCACACTTGGAGAAACTCCAAACTCACTAAGCCCCAGGCCTAAAGAAGGGCTCCGTCTGCGAAGCAAATCTAGACCCCCAACCTCCTAATCCTGAACTCTTTCCACATTGACGGTCCCCCAAATTGGACACCCAGAATACACACTGACCAACATTCCCAAGCCCTGAACCCAAAACCATAAATAGTAGTTTCGATTTTCTTTTCCAGTATCCCAATATACCCCCTGTATAACCCTAATAGTAGTTTCCATGTGCTTTTCCATTGTCCCCCTATATAACCCTAATATTACCCCAATGGGTACCTATATCCCTTCTGTACCTGTGCAGGGACCTAGAGTACAATCCTACTTCACATGGCCATTACCAAGGGGGGTGGAGGTACGCTGTAGGGTTCAGGGTTAGGGTTATAGTCCTTATTAGAGGAACCCTGAACCCTTAATGCCCCAAGGGACCCCTCACCAAAACACAATAGTAAAACAGTACCTCACATGCTGCTCGCCGGCCCTCGCGACCCTGCCAGAAAGCTTCGGACCTAAGCCAGGGCTGATAGTGTAAGGCTTAAAGGGTTAGGGCTCCGGATCTAAGTTCAGGTTTAGGCTGTAAGGTTTAGGATTTAACGTTTGAAGGGTTAGGGTACAGGATTTAAGGTCAGGTTCAGGGTGTAAACCCTAAACCCTAAACCCTGTAGGCTTAAGGGTCTAGGGTTTAGGATTTAAGGTCTTGGGCTGAAGTCTAGGATTGAAGGTTCAGGGCATTTTGGGGGGGCTGAGGGTTGCAGAACTCAGGGTTAAGGCTTAATGTGAACACAGTCAAAGTGTAGCTTAATGAACCCCCTCCCCTTAATAGGGATTATACTAGGGATCCTACTATTAAGGCCCTTTGAAGGAGGGGGTCTATTAATCATGGGTCTACATTATAACTTATATCTTGCATTGTACCCACCCAGGCTTAGGGAATCCTTGACCCTAATCCGGTCTGGTAGCGGTAGCGGTAGTGGCAGTGGTAGTGGTGGTGCAGCGGCAGCGGCGGAAGCATTAGACTCAGTCCCACCCCTAACCCAGTTTTTGATGGCCATTAGAGGGGCTGTTTCTCCCACCTCGTAAACGTCTTATGAATCTCCGCAAGCCCCTATAAGCTCCTGAAGGGGCCCCCATGAAAAGAAGCTCCTCTACACCCTAAAGCCCTCACTCCCCACAAACCCCAGACTGACAAGACGAGGGAGGCTTTGGGGCATTATGCCTGCCAAGTTTGCCACGGTTATGATCCTTTCCACTTGCAGACTGCATCTCTATCTGAAGGTCCAGGCGACCTGACAACTATGTACAGCAGGTGCTATGGCCTCAATTGCGGATACTTGGGGTACATAACCTCCATAGTGGAGGGACGGAAGCAGGTCTACCAACCCTGTTCAAAACACTTACTACGACACATGCATCTCCCAGTCACTAAGGAGACTCACCCCACCACTTGAGAACTCAATGCTCTAGACCTTACTCAGGGTTCGGGGGTCCATAAGGGTGCCGGCCGCTCCTCAATGGAGGCTCAGTTGGTTCATCTGCAAACTGCAAACCATAAACCCAAAACTGCAAACCTAGAACCTGAATTCTAAACCCTAAGCCCTCAACCCTTAGCCCTGAACCCAAAACCCTCAACTGGGCCTAAACTGTGTGAACCTAGCCACGCCAGCTGCCCTGCAAGCAACAAGCTGGCTCGCCATGACCTATGCATGGCGGCGAAATCGACTGCACTTTGAAAGTTAAGCAGAAACCACTTAAGGCTTTGGGAGAAAGAATTTTGTCGGACCTTTTTCCTTTGCAGGAATGCAGGGACAAAGTTTAGAGTTCAGGATTTAGGGTGACAAGCGAAAAGGCTAGGGATGCGCTGGCTGAAGGGCTTTAGGACTCTAAGGACTTTATGTGCCGGACCTACAACCCACAAGACCTATAAGAAGCCGACATGATACATCTCGAATCCGTGACTCTGAATCCTCAAATCTTACCAGCCCTGCAAACTTTGTGGCTTCCTGGCCTAGCGCACGTTAAACCCTAAATCTTTTCTTTAGACATACACACACAGACTTTGCCATGTGCAGCATCTACATATGCACATACACATACACATGCACACAAATACAGACATGTACATATCCCCGTCCATGTAAATATTTATATACATAATTTTATACACACATTTGAGCATGTACACATGTTCCTGAAGATTCTATAATAGACATTCCCAGCCTAAACCCTAAACCCCAAACCGTGTACCATTCCCAGCCTCCACTAGCACGGTAGTGCCGAGGTTGATCTCAGGGAAGGCAGCGGACACAAAGGCTTTGGCTTCTTCTCTTGGAGGCTGCCTGGCGTGCTGCAAGCTACTGTGGATAGAGGAAACCTCACACCACTTATATAGGAATTAGATTGGGGTTATATTGGGTTTTTTGGTGTTATGTTGGGGTTCTATCGGGATGATATGCGGGTTATGTTGGGTTTTTTGGTGGTCATATTGGGGTTATATAGGTGGATTTGCAGGGGTTTATATTGGGGCTATATGAGGTTATATTGGGGTTAAATTGGGTTAGATGGGGATTATATAGGAGTTATATTGGGGTTATGTTGGGGTTATGTTCAGGACCTTTCAAATGCCGTAATTATTAGGGCCTCCCAGGGTAGAAGGTGTATAGGGTGGTGCAAGATTTCCTCCATCCACTGAAGGTAGGCATTTTACAAAGCACTTGTTATTTGCAATAGGAGATGTAAGAATCAATTAGGACTTCCCAAGCCACCACCATGACTACGATGGCCCATCTGAGAAAGCTCAGGCCCCAGAGTTCTTCTTACGACCCCCATTTTCTGGAATAGGTATATAGGTGGTTGTCAAAATTATGGTCCCTAATAGGGATCCAAAAAGGGACCATAATTTTGACAACCACCCATAGGAGGATCCGAGGGTTAAGGGGCCCATACAAGGGCCCATAAACCCTAAACACGTAGACAAGGTTTATTGCGTGGATTGGCCCATCACAGTGATACCTTAATATACTACTACTAGACAATAACAATAATGATAGTAATAAAAAGATCATGATACGCATACTAGTCATGGTCATACGACCTGTAAAACACTTAGGAGCTGTTAAAGGGGCTTAGGACAAGCCTAGATACCGGGACTCCCCAAAAGGCTTCCCTCATTTTGATCGTCCGTGTAACAGGGAATCTAAGCCCCAAACTCCAAAAGACCCAAAGCTCCACTTATGTAAGATATGTAAGTATGTTGGGGGCCATACGGGAGCTCTATTCTATGGGATACCAGGGGCACGTTCATGCCAAGCAGCTTCCGAATAGTTTCGCCCTTTTCCTAGCCCAGAGCTGGAATCTTTCTGGGTAGGGTTTAAGGTCAAAAGCCTAGGGCTGAAATAGGGTTTTAATAGGGTTTGGAGGTCGAATAGGCTCTACGGTTAAGGGTTGTAGCACGCTTCATTTTTCAGGGTCAAGAACTTACAAGGAAAATTTGAAAAGGAAAGCTGTCCTATGTACCCCAGTCTCGCCCTTGAAAGACTTGACGGCATTCTGCCACAAGTTCTCCGCCAACGGCTGCAATTCCTCAAGCCTCCGCCGGGTCTCACGCTTTGGGCTTTTCGGTTCACGCCCAAAAAGGACTTGTCCTTATGATGAAGACTATACACATTTTGCTTGAGAACCTCTGAAACTACTATGGCGGAGGAATGCTAACGGCTGAGGATTTCACAGCTGACCTGCCAGCTGGCTGACATAGGGCCCCTGAGCCCGTCAGGACTTGCGGCTCCAGCATTGCAGGATATCCATGCTGTAAGAACGGTCCGGAAAAACAAAAAAAAACTCACGAGCTCGTGGCCCTCTTTCGAGCTGAACCCCAACCTCTGTTTTCTACATCCTGAACCCTACACCCCAAACCCTAAGCAAAACAAGCCTGCCGTCGTCGCCATGCTCATACGGCCTCGGTTGTAGTTTGCCCTCGTGCTGCTGCACATAATTTTTCGAATGACATTATGGTAGAATAGGATTTTGCAAGTTGCTTGAAAGGTAAAAGTGCCTGCATAGACTGCAAATGCAATGTGTGACTCTCGCGTTGTTTCGGCCCTCTAAGGCAAGAACATCGAAGGTCTGACTGAGTGTCTTTTAACTTGAAATTATCCTCAAGTACCTGCCCTTCTTCTGGGGATCCCCCAAACTATTTCATGGATAGTGAGAACCTAAGGTTCCCTGGGCCCCATGCATTGCCTAAGCAACCCCAAACCCTTAGAAGTCGAAAAGCTCATGTCAAACGTGAACTGGAATCCAAGAAGTATGGGGCGCCTCATTGTTTGAGCTAGAGTCTAAACTCTTTAAAGGGGGGGTTGTATAGGGAGTATATAGGGGTATACAAGGATTATATAGGGTTATATAAGGATATTTAGGATTTAGGGTTTAGGGTCTAAACTCCTTAAAGGGGGTTATATGGGGGATTATATTTGGAATTATTATGGGGTCTATCAAGGGGGATACTAGGAGTTTAGACTATAGCTCGTTTAGGGTTTGAGAGTTTAGGGTTCAGGGTTTGGCCTTGTGGGGTTTCTCAATATTCGGGCCTTCAAGGAACCTATTGGGACATACAGTGATGGCAAGAAAATCGTGAGTGGGATTCAGGGGCAGGGGACTAAGTATGAGGGTGAAAATCTGTGTTTGGGTTTAAGGGGCTAGTTTAGCTTCTCTTCTAAACCAAGCTTGACTATAAGCAAAAAGAATATCGGTGAGGCCATGATTGATAGGGTAGAAGGCGGGTACATCTCCAGATTGCAAACGGCTACGCTACTTCAAACTACGATGGACACCATGACGACCGAATTCAGCAGGGCCCTGATAACCCTACCTGCAGACCTCCATAAGCCTTCCAGCGCAGTCAAGTCTCATCTCTGTCTCATCCGTGGAAGAAGTCAGATAACGCACCCAAAGGCAGAGTAGCTGGACAATTGGCTTTATGGTGGGCACGTCCATCGGCGGCAGGTTGGGAATCAGGATGATGCCTTGACGAGGTAGGCGTACTGCGATGGTCTTAAAAGTAGAAGAAAAAGGGGCTACAGGATATTACCTGAAAAAATGGTTCTCCCTACCTCGTGCCTTAGAGGGCCACTTCTCTCAGGTACCCAGAAGGCCTTGGGTTTGGGGGTTCGCAACAAACATACGAAACAGAACTGATCATTGATTTCCCGCGTATCAACCCCAAAACACAGCTTCGTCTAGTCTTACCAGAAACCCGTTTTTGTTGCCAAACACGTCAACACGCGACCTTGGATTACCCTAAACACTCAAAACCTATACAAGCCCCACACCCTGAACCCTACACTTTCTGTGCAGTAGCCAAGTACAGCAGAATCTGCCATCACGACCTTTACGGGGTATAATATGACCTGTAGTCTACACTCCTAGTATCCCCTTTAGAAGCGCCTATAGTAGCCCCTTATGTAACCTTTAACGAGTTTGGGCTCCAGCTCATATGGGGATCGCCATCAGGATCCTTTCCCTGATTCCCTACTAAGTAAGGCCTTAGGGTGTCTCAGTGAAAGAGTGCGCTGGTGCTCCACACTTGCCTCGACCTTTTCTCTGGAACTCTGATGGCGCTCCTGTTTTCTCTTTTTTTGCACCTGTCTAGACCAAGCGGGTGCAGGGTTTGAGCTGGGTCTGGCTTGAGGTTTCTTGTGCTTTTTGAGATTGAGCCTTGCCTGGAGGCCTTCAGCCTTGAACCAGTTGGACCTGTCCAGAATGACGTGCAAAGTTTGGGTTTGGGTCTGGCTCGAGGCCTCTAATAGAGAGAGGAGAGGAGGGGTTTCCCTGGACCTCCTGAACGAGTGGACCTGTCTAGACAAGGCGGGTGCAAAGTTTGTGCTGGGCTTGCTCGAGGCTTCTTGTTTTCTCTCGAAATGAAGCTATGGCAGCCTCGAACCACTTGAGCCTGTTTGGTGCAGGGTTTGGATTTGGGTCTGGCTAGAGGCCTCAAGTCGCTTCAGAGCAACCCTTGAATCACGTAGCTCGTCCAGACCGGCAGGTGCAAGGTTCGGGTCTGGGTCTAGCTCGAGGCCTTTAGTTCTCTTCAGCCGAAACCTTGAAAATGGAGGCTTCTTGTGGCCTGGCACCGCAGAGAAGGCTTTCACTGAAAGGGTCTGAGGCGAGGCCCAGGCTGGAGGGTTTGGGCTTGATGGGTGGGCTTGATGGGAGCCCTCGGAGGCTGCCCTCAGAGCTTTGCGCTAGCAACGCTTTTCGCGCCATGACCCCACCCGAGAGAAGGCCTGAGGGGGGCTTGGGAAGCACATTTGAAAAGCCAATAAAACGCTTTGGTGAAGGGTTTGGGGTAGCTCATTGTAAGGGTGACCTGATGGATTACTCGCAGGCAACCTGCTGGGTCTACCGCGCAGCCCACACCTGCCTGTGGGACTGGGAGCTCCGTCGGCAGCCGGAGGGCCTTTGGCTCCGGAACTAGAATCGCCTGCCGGCTTCGGTGCGTTCAGCCTGCTCGACAGCCCGGGCTCACTCAGTCTAGGGTTTAGGGATTAGGGTTCGCCAGCGCAGCTTGGCGCCCAAGTCCACTCGCTCCTTAAAGGGGGCTGCCCTGAACATAAGATTGAAAGCGCTTACGTTTTTAGATGCCTTTGCGTTCAGCTGACGTTCTCACACTGTTAGATGCTTCTTCCAGTTTGCAAAGCTTTTTCATAAACCCAACATGTCTCCAGGCCCAAATTTGGCCAAAATTGCAACCAAAGGCAAAAATGCAAAAATGGCTTCCAAAAGGCAAAAATGGCTTCCAAAAGGCAGAAATGGGTTCCAAAAGGCAAAAATGGCTTCCCAAAAGCCTAAAATTGCATTCAACAAGCAAAAATGGCTTCCAAAAGGCCGGAAATGGACTCCAAAGATGCCAACATGATTTTCAAAATACTAACCCAAAATTTCGAACAGAGGCCAAAAAGCTTCCAGAATGCCAAAATGGTCAAGAATTGCGTCTAAAGCTGCCAAAAGGATTCGCAGAAACCCAAAATGGCTTTCAAAAACCGGAAACGGTTCCAAAGACAAAAATCGCCGCCATTTCCAGATTTCAGCAAGAGCACTCTAAGATAAGTGGCCCAACCTACAATTTATGTAAACCTACCTTCGCCGGCAAGCCCACAAAATGCTGCGCCGGCGCACAAGGGCGTAAGTCCCTTAAAGTTTAGGGTTTAAAAGTTTAGACGTTTAGGGTTTAGGGGTTCGCTACTAGGTAAGCACCAGGTATTCATAGCCCTGCCACCAATTTATGCGAGTTTCCAAAAATTGGGTGTACCTTTTTGGGGTCTACCATATGGAACCCCATGTATAAATCCCATCTAAACGGACAGTCGTCCTAATAGGGCGGTCCCAAGATCCGTAGGCGGGCACGCCAACAAACGCTAGTATGATGTATTATGTAGTTGTAGCAGACGATAAGATGCTACCTGGAGATAACTTGGCTTTTCCTTACCTAGCCCAACACCCTTTTAATTTAAGCACCATATAACCTGCTGATATCAAGCTCTAAACCCCAGGCCCTAAACCCTGCACCGTAAATCCCACATCCCTAACCTCTCCAAAAAAATGCAAACCCAGTCGCAGAATCTGCCGAGATTACGACATCCCTCGTGCGCCAGGGACACTAACTCCTCGTCGCTGGCGGAGAGCCGACTGAAGACTTCGGCCTGAATTTTGTAGGGTTTAGGGCTTACGTAGGGTTTAGGAACATACCCTGAACCCTAAAACCCTAAACCATTACCCCAAATCATGGAGAATCAAATGGGAAAGAAGATGGAAAACTAAATGGAAACGAGGCTTCAAGGTTGAGGCTGGGAGTTCTTGGGCTTAGGGTTTAAGGACTAGGGCTTCTGGTTTAGGATTTAGGGACGAAGGTTTAAGGTTTGGGGTTTAAGGTTTCAGGTGTAGGGTTTGGGGGATTCGGGTTTAGGGATTAAGTGCGGCTCAACGTCTAGACGGTGTTGAAGGTTTATTACGGCTACTGAGGGTTTGGGGCGGTCATTTTCTTTGCCAGTTTTAGCAAGTCAAAGTTTAAGCTACGGAAACTGGGACCCGAAGTCATTGTAAATTCATTTTGTCTTGAGGATTCGAAATTGAGGGGTTCAGGCCGTAGGATTTAAATTTAGGGTTCAAGGTCTCGGATTGAGGTTTACGGGTTTCGGGTTTAGGCTTCATTTTGCCCAGGTCTACATGGTCAATTATCGCTTTAACGAAAGCTTGACAAACTTCAGACGGCTTTGCGAGTATCCTTCTCCTTTGGGGGCCAGCCAACAATGCGGATTCCCTTGCCCAAACTGACGTGGAACCCCAGAAATCCCCCTACCAAGGACAGGAATTCATGCAACCCCTTTGCCGGTTCTATGTCAATCTGCGGGGAAGGTAACAACACTCATAGATTTGGCAGAGAATTTAGGCCATGTCTATGTGTAGGGCTGCCGATTTACACAAGGCCCCCATGCGTTGTTGCGAGCAGTCCAGCACAAATCAGTTCCCGTGCAAACTTTTTTTGCAACAACCCTCAGATCCGCCTGGAAGCCTAAACCCTGAACTCTAAACCCTAGCCCTAAATCCCACACCTTGAACCCTAAAAGCTTCAGCCCTAAACCTTGTGCCCCCAGACCCAAAACCCTAAAAGTGAAACCCTAGTCCCTGAACCCAGAACCCGAAAACCTTACACCGTGAACCCTAAACGCTCACCATAACCGCCAAACCTTGACCCCAAACCCCCTCCACAAAACGGGGCTTGACAAAGATTCAGGCCTGATAGGCTTCCCCATCGGCACTCTCAGACGGGGTGACTCCATATTCCAAAGCTACCTTCGTTCAGGATTTAGGGTTCTGGACGTGAACTCAGGGAATGGATCAGGGGCTATACCAAACTACCTGAGGGACCCTATGTGCACCTGTAATGGTCCTTTGGTACCCCTGATGTTGACAGTAGCTCATGTCATGCTTGGGACGCTGGGCTTGGATGTTAAGATTTAAGGGTTTAGGGTTTAGGGCTTAAGGGTTTTTGGCTGGGTACGGCCCCCACGCTGCAGTCTATATCAGGGGTCGTATTACAAGCTATGTATAACTATATTCTACATAGCTTCCAACAGTTACAGAGTGAGGGCAGTAGCCACCTTTTAGGGTTTAGGATTGAAGGCTAGGGGTTCTGTTTTCCCCCGGTCCCTCCAATCTACGTAGAGGATTTCCATTTTCCTGTGCATTCTTTCAGTCCCATTCCCTACTTACAATCAGCGAATAAGCCCGAAAACTTTGCTCATTCATCTAGGCACTGCCAAGTATCTGTTCACAAAATCAAAAATCACAGGCTCGCTCAGCGCATCATTGATCCTCCGGTAGCCCAGCAGCAGGCCGGCATAGACTATCAGCTGCCTCGCACCTTGTGTCATTTAACTTGACACCCTGAACCCAAACCCTGTCAGCCAGGAATGAAGAGCAGCAAACTGCTGCCATGTTCCGATTTCGAAGGGACTTCCAATCAAGTCTACAAGTTCAATCCGACAACTGTCAGCATGCAAGGCAACCGCTGCTGCAATGGGGCGCGCCCAAGAACAAGCCAACGAATCACAAATATCTGGAGGATACAGGAATATCTAGGGGTACACACAATAGTGGAGAATTCGCGAACAGAGACAATGGACAATTAAATGAATTCTTGGGGTATGTAGATGGGAGTCGAGCAAATGCTACCTCTTTTTGCCAACCTCACGTCTTGGCCCAAAATTGCGCACAACTCACAATGACCAGCCCAACATCTTGACCCTTCCTCCTGCGGGTGACTGAGGTGAGTTGAATCAAAAAACGGTGCCATCAGAACGCTGTGGCAAAAAAATGGGAATGCATGGCATTGGTTAGGAAAGGCCTCCACCACGAGCAGGGACCACAAGGCTGAAAGGTAGTTAGAAAAGGGTTCCCTACATATTCCTAGTATACCACTACTACAGCATGGAGCCTAAGCCCCGGCAGAGGGCTGTACAACGCAAAGCGCGGCTGGTTGGTGAGGTTTAGGGTCTAGTGTTCCTTCCTTTAGGGTTAGGGCGTATGTTCGAAGAGAGTAAATCACAAAACCATGTAATCCCCATACTGCCCTCCATGACCTAGAAGGGGTGCCCACTAAGGGTCCGTCCTATGGCCCCCAGATAAATCTTCCAGAATTTATGGTGTGAAACCCTCTTGGACCTGGCATCAACCCTAAAATCCTGCTTTATTTGGGGTTCGGTGTTTAGGCTTCAACCGTAACACCCAACTCTTGACCCTACTCTACACCCTGAACCCTATCCCAACAGCAACATAAGCCTTTGGCCCCTAAATCTTGAAGCCTACAAGCCCTAAACCCCCTAAACCCTACACCCTAAACCCTAAACCCTAAACCCCAAACCACTGGGGCCATCCATTCAACTCCTGGGCAATAACATGTTGTCACGGGCGCCCTCGAAAACCTTCAAGTGCAGGTCCGAGAAGGGCTGCGCATCCTGTTAGGCTTCTTTTTGCAGCGCTTTTTCGGGTTTAGGGTTTAGGGATTAGGGTTTAGGGTTTACGGTTTAGGGAATAAACAAAGATATCTTCAAATATGTAAGGATATGTAAGGTTTGGGATTGTTGCAGGGTCCCTTCTCGTACCTTTAAGCATGGCTTAGGGGCTTAGGGCCTACCGCACGTTTGGGTATTCTATTTTCCAGTAGCCCGCAAAACGAACCTATTGCCCTTCAACCCTAAACCCTGCAGATGCCTGTAAAGGTCCATGTATACCCCGAGGTACCTACTTCACCCTGAAACCTACGCCCTTTTCTCCCCCTATCACACCCTTTGAAGTAACCCAGTCTCCTCCACAAAGACGCAAGCGTCTCCCAGGACCGACTCCCACGCAGGTCTGCCACTTGGGAACTGGTCCTGTGCAAATTTGGTTCGAAAACTTGGGGCCTAGGGCATAGGCTTCAAGTAACCGCTCTGAATCTTAAGCCTTTTTCAGGTACAAGTCTGAAGGTTCAATGCTGATCTTTAAGGTTTGAGCTTTGAAGGCTTAAGGCTGAGTGTCTGCCTGCGCATCTCAGCCCCGAAGGCAACTCGCTATTTAAAAGGGGGCTGCCCTAAGCTTCAATCTTCTAATGTCATCAAGTGACAACGGCATCTTGACTTTTTGAACCTCCTACCCTCACTTTCGCCATGCTCATTTTCAGACAGCTTGCACTGCTCAAGGAAGCTTTGAAGCTTCTGCAGCCCAACTCTCACAACCGATTTTAGGTTCCCAAGCCAGCTTATGGACGCCCTGCCGGCTCTTCCCAAGGCTTCCAGAACCCATGTTGACCAGATTTTCGCTTCCATGGCCTCCACAAAACTCCCAGGTTGGCTTAATAAAAAGTCACAGAACGCCCAGACTAGCTCCGATTCAAGACCTGGCTGCGGAAGACTCAAATTGGCTTCAAAGGCCTAAAGCTGGCTCCAGAAAATCCTGAACCCTAAGCCCTAAACCCTCTAAACCCTATAAACCCTAAAACAACAGGAACTTGGTGCGAAAAGGCCAAAACTGGCTCCAACAATTGGCTGCAAAGCTGGCTGTTCAATCTAGGGTCTAGGGTTCAGGGTCTACAGCCCCCCTTAAGTAGATAGAATATGGCCTTGGGCATATAATAATAAGATCCCATTATACCCCATATTCTGTCTACTTAAGGGGGGCTCTAGGGTTTAGTAAATGAATAGACATTCAAGTTTGCTTTCGCCCTTCCAGCTGGCAAGCATTCGAGAAATTGCGCTTCCCCACGAAGGGGCAGGCCGTTAACGTTTAGGCGGTGGATGGGATTGCCCATGCAAGCTGTAGTCGAGATTGCCTTCATAGTTCCTGGAAATGAGTTCCCCGCAAGGAATACATCAGGAGGGCCCCTCACCCAGAAAGAATGGTATAATAGGAATATAAGGACCCAAATATGATCCTTATTATCCCTTGTAGTCACTATTACAGGGCGCGGGGTCCACCCTGAAGGAATACAGTATACTGAACGATAAAAGGAACCCCTTATGTCGACGCTTCATGGTCCCTTGGCACCGCTAATATTGACAAGAGCTCACATGGAAGTATGAGAACTATCAGGGGACCATGGGCGAGCCGTGCAGAAACTACTAGGGTAGGTTTGGGGACCTATAAGAATTATATTCATGGAGTTATATGTTATATCGGTTATAAAGTGATAAGGGCAACAAAAAAATAAAACTTAAACCTACCGGCCCTCTTTTCTGATGGCTGCCACTGGCGCTTTCTTGCTGCAATTGGGATGCATGCATGTGTACATGAGCTGTTTGGGCCTCTTGTTGAGCATTATGGCTTGCTGGTGGCCAGTTATTCTGTTTGATATGGCTATTGGCTCTCGTCTGTGGCTTTTCCATCGTGATTTGTGCAATTGCTGCAGCACTGTCTTGTGATTCATCTCGCGTTCATTAGTTCTCGGCTTCTTGCCGTTATTCACATCAACAGCAACTCCTGCATGGCAAAGCCCAATAGGACTTGACTTCACTCCTCTTGCAAGACATGGGTGGGAGATGGTGGGAGCCTCACTTCCGTTTGCGGGTACAGCCACATCAGCCGTATCCATGACAAGCGCTGTTTTTTAGTGCTTGGTATGGCAAGATGCGCCCTGCAAAAGGAAGCCCATAGGCCTTAGGGCCTACCTCAGGGTTTAGGGATGGGTTGATCTATGGCTATGACATCCTGGGCTGGCCTCTACCACCCAGCGCACGAAGTCTTCACAGGCAACTGGTGACTTGTCAGCGACGCCCGACGCTCGATGAAGATCCTGGTTCTGCTAGTGGAAAAGTAGCGTGTCGGGGGCATCATGCCAGGGATCGTAATAGGGCGATGTAGGCTTAACCCTGACCCTAAACCGTGCTGACGGCTTTGCATACAGGAATCGATGTCGCATGCCAAGACCCAGCCCTGGTTGTGGCACAAGGGTTTGGGAGTTGAGGGTTGAGGGGTTCAGGGTTTGGGGGTCTAGGATGGACCATTCGCCCTCACAGTATCTGTCCTCAAGGGGGTCACAGTAAGGGGCTCTTATAGCTTAAACCTCCAAATACCCATTGTAGCAACAATTTCTGTAACTGGGCATGAGCTAAGGTGTAAGGGAATTTTTGTAGGCTACGGGTTCCCTGCTCCCAGCTCCTCAAGCACAGTGGGTGTCATCCTGTAGATGATGCGATCACCTCAGCGGAGGCGGATAGGGTGCTTCCTTAAAATTCCTTAGGATTTGTAGGGACGACAAGAATCATAGGAGTCCTCATGAGGAGTATTCTGAGACACTCCCATATCTTTCAACACACGCAACGGGGCCTACAGGCTTTTCGTGCCTTCTCTGCCCTGTCGGATGGCAGAATGTTGATGGTCTAGCGGTTACAGGTTCCGTCTTGGGAGAGATTAGCATCCATGAGGCTATCGGCAAGAAGAGCCCTATGGACACCGTAGCTGACAGAAAGAAGCTTCGCACACATGCTGGTTGGAATGTCACGGGACTTCACGACCCCTAACTCCAAAGTCCAAACAAGCACTAAACACTAAATCCTGGACCCTGACTCCCCTCAGCAACCTTAGACTGCAAAGCTTGCAGATCACAAAAAAATTGTTGGTGCCCGCTTACAAAACTGATGCCCCCATGGAACAAACTGAAGCCAGGGAAGCCTATAGAGTGGGTAACCCCAGACCTTAAACCCAAACCCTAAACCTTACTCCCAAAACCCTAGACCACTGTTATGCATACGCTTGTTTTTTGGAGGGGGCATGTAAGGTTCCAGGTTAATTTCGGAGAGGTCGGCAACGTAAGAATGCTGAAGCAAAATCTACTTGGCGTTCACTGTTTAGAGCTCTGCCCTCACCCAGTAACAGTCTATGACAGAAGAAATCTCAAGCCTTTGTTTCGGCTTCTTCGGGAGAGTTTCCGCCTTGGTATCTCTTAGAATTCAGGTGTTTGGGCTTGGGGAAGGTAATGCAAACGAGTGACACACGGAGCTTGGAAAGCGCCACTGCTCCTCAATGTACCTTGGCCATGCAGCAGAAGACGAAGGCAGGCTTTATTTGGACAAAATATCTACAGTAGAATTGACAGCAGATTTTCCCCGAAGCTTATTCATGTCGTGGGCCATATTCTCCTGCAGATTCTATTGTGGGCCTTCCCATGATGTATCCCCGCCCCGTCATGATAAGGAAATGTTCAGGCCCGGGTTTAGTTTTACTCTTGTTTTTTGGCGCGCCTTCTCTCTGCAGGCGCAAATGGCCACTGGCCAGGCGGAACAGGTTTATGGTTGAGGGTTTTAACTGTAAAGTTCCCTTGCACAAGGCTTGTCCGCCGACCTCGGTGCTTGTCCTTGGGAGTGTCGGAGCTGGGGTCCACGACGAGTTTGCGAAAAATGCCCCAACTGTATGACCCAGACTCGAAAAACCCAGATTGGCGCGTCAAGCAGCAACAGCCGGCTGACCGCGCGCGCCCAACCCAATTTCTTGCCCATCCTACCCCTCCCCCCCCCCACGTCCCGCGCCCTCCACACTCCTTCCTACTTGGTTGGCAGCCTGACCCGGAGCTCTCAAGTTGGACGCCCTGGATCCGTGTTGGGGGGGGTCGAGATTCTAGGTGATTCTTGGATGCGTTTTTGAAGCTTGCCCCCCCACTACGGGTTTGGCACAATTTTTTCAGGCCCTGTCGTCAGCACAGTTGTGCCTTCGCTTCTCATTGTTGGACACCTCAACATAGGGGTGTTGGAACCTCATATGCGTGGTGTCAAGAAGGGATATGGGGACCCAAACAGGCCCCATGATGCTCATGAGGCTGGCTCTTGGCGGGCTGCTGGGCGCTTTAACATGCGCTAAGCTATAAACCCTGGCAAAACGCTCCAAGTACACGTTGTGGGCCGTGCTTGTGGTTGTAAAATGTTGTAAACACCAGTGTTAGTAGCACCTGCACTGCATGACAAGCATGAGACAGATGTCGTAAGCTGTGCATGTTGCATGGTTATCGGGTGTGTTTTGCCCATATTTCCAGCACTCTTGTGGCTCCTTAGCTAGGATTTTGCACCACTTTAGCTTATCCAATATGTTAAGATGCCGCTTCTGAATTGCAAAAAAATGCACTTGTGCTCACGACGCCATGCCTCCAGATCATAAGGCATAACGCGCGGGCCTAAAATCAATCGAGTAGGATTCTTGGGGGTATACCTTTCCCCCTAAAGGGACCCCTGAAATGGTTGCCTTCTCAAAGGACTTTAACACGATGACCTTCAAACTTGAAGTATCGTTTACGGGAGGATGCGTCAACATAAGGAATCCCGGGTTGTTCAAACCTCCAATTTCCAAAAAGGGGGGTCTTTGTGTATACGCCCCAAATACACTATGAATTTTGTTGTGAAGAAACTCCTAATTGAAGCACAAACCTTAACCCGAAACCCTAAACCCTAAACCGGGGCCGGGCTGCTTCACAAGCTCATCACCTCCTGTCTGCTGCGCCAGGGCCGCCACAACCTTTGCCTGGGCTGCTGCTTATCTATATATACATGATGACGTTTACGTACTTGGGTAACTTTTTGAAGATGAGTCGTGTAAACCGCTATGTAACCTCAGTTTCCAGTTCACGTCATTGCTCTTTACCATTTGATTTTGCATTACGGTATCTTAACCCTAGTCCCCAAACGTTAAATCCTAAACCTAAACCCTGAATCCTTAAGCCAGATTAAACTTTAAACAGCACCCCAGTTGCACAGCGCTCCCCGTTCCGTGGCACTGCATCACAGCTGAGCCTCATGGTGCACGCACAAGTTGCAATGGAAACAAAAATTGGTGCTTCCAAACATCGGGGGCCGCTTTTGGGGATCCCCATAATGCAGCAGAAACAACAGCAGGACGAGGAGGAGCAGCTGGAGAGATACCAGCCGCAGCAGCAGCAGCAGCAGCAGCAGCAGCAACAGCAGAAGCAACAGCAGAAGCAGCAACAGCAGCAGTTACAGGTGGCAATGAAGAGGGCATTTCAAGATATTAGCATGAGTTGGGCAGCTGTCTCCAAGCGAAAACTGCAGATGGACTCCTCTTCGTTTTCCTCCTCCTGTTCCTGCGCTGCACACGGCCTATGTAGATCTCTATCCTTCTCTGTTAGGAAAAAGAAAACTAAGCAAGTTGCACATCCTTATCTCAAAACTTGACGAAGGAAGCCCTATGGGGGACAATACGTGGCATTCTAGGAGACCTCTCAAGGGTTTTTTGTACTTACGAAGTCCCCCCTGGCCCTCCACTTGCTCTAACCCTTGAACCCTGAACCCTAAACCTCCCCATTTTGGGACCACGTGAGCCACAGTCTCAGCCCCCAAAACTGTTTTGACTTTGGCAGCGCAGCAAACTTCCGTGAGTAAGCTAAGCAAACACATCACATCCGGCTATGCCAGACGGCTCCTCGAAGGAGCAAACCGTCAATGGAAGAACACATCCGGATCCCTAGCGTGCGGCTGAGCTACCCCGCGAGGCTTGCAATGGGGAACTATACGCTATGAAGGTAGCAGTGTGCTCAACAACCCATACAGCGGCACACCGTCAAGCAACTGAAAGCAACAATACAGTGCAAGGAAGTTGCCTGTTGTAAAGTGCGACCTAACCATAAGGTTGCAAGCTCGGCTTACCCTTAGGGGAGTAACAACACTGCCAATTGGTTCACTATACAGTCTACAAGTAGCACTTCACTCAAGTGACTCAAGCAAGGCCGAAAAACGGCTCCAGGCAAGCCAACTCAGCGCAACTAACAGCGCTTAGCCGTTTCTGGCTGTCAAGCGTGGTAAGTTTGTAGGCTGAGCTTACCCCTATGGGCCTAGCACACAGCCAGTAGGCTGGGCTTACCCCGAAGGGCCTAGCAAAGCAGCCAGTAAAGTGCAACCATGTCGTAGGGGTCATTTTCGCCGGGGTGCCATGGCACGACGCAGGAAAAATTGTTCCAGCTCTCGAAGCCTCGCCCTTGACGCCAACCCTCACTTCTAGCAGTGGGAGACAAAGCTGAGAAAGCCGTGAACATTGCCGTCCGGACCGAACCGGCTCACTGCAAAAAATCTTGCATGTGGCATGCTGCACTTGATCGGGACAAAGTGGTTGACCGTGCACCCACACTCATCTTCGAACGCAAAAAGGCCAAGGGACATCCATTGAAATTGTATCTCAGCCGTTCCAAGGAAAGGTCAGCACCGACATTTACCATGGGTTTCCACAACAAACAGGTGCTAAGCAGGTGCTACATTTACATCGTATCGCCACATCGCGTGTGCTCAAGTCTTCGACCTGGCTCTTTGCAGGCCCGCCTGGCCAATGACATACATAATGCCATGCAGGTGGCGGGAGCGAAGAGCCCAGAGTATGCGTCGCCACGCGCTCCCTGATGAAAAGCATGGTGTTAAATGGTGTTAAGTGGTGTTAACATACCCGAGCAGACCGTCCCGGGCTGGCAAACCGCATCCTAACAAAGCGCGATGCAAAAGATCCCGAGGCAAGCAACAAACATCCAGATTCCAGCCCAAAAAGCATTCCGCTCGGGTGATCTGCAGGTTGTCTCCACATCGCGTGGATCCACTCTTTGTCGCCAAGCGCTCCAGAGTTTCCGCTTGAAATACAATCGAAGCGAGCCAGAGCCAAAAGCTGCAAAGCTTGTTTCGGTTTTTCAGGCATCCTTGGAGAGCCCCATGGAACCAACAGCCAGATGAGAGTTATGAAGCCGGGTAGCGAAAAATTGAAAAATCCTGTCACACGACCAAAGTCCGAATGCTTCATATCAGTACGGGGCCGAGGTAAAGCACCCAAATGACTTGTGTCGCAGGTCTTTGAGACGACAAAGGAGCTGTGCCATGGCATGTCACGGGGCTTTAGAACCGCGTTTAAGGCAGGGGACCCAGGGCCTGTTATTACAAGCCAATTGAGGCCCGAGCCCGTTCGAAAGCAACACACCGCAGCTGAGAAGCTTTAAATTCCTAGTATTCGTCCCCTACATAGCCCCCCCCTTCCAGGAGTTTTAGAATGTTGCTCATCTTGGGCCCGGGTAAGGATTCCTTTAGTTGAACCCCTGCGTACAGGCAGCACGGCCACAGGCGGTGAGCGGCTCTTCCTGCGCAAAGCTGCAGCTGCGACCAGGTACCTGCGCTCTTGTTGACTGGTTGCTTAAACCCTGAGGGTTTAGGCTTTAGGGGAATACACGGCAAAGTTCTAGAGTTGACGGTTTTAGGCTGAGATGCCATGATGGAGAGTCAAATGGCCACAGCTGGAATGTGAGATGGACGCTGGGGTAGAGAGCGTTTCCCAAGGGAGCCAAGAACTTTAAATCAAGTTACCCTAAAAAGGGAACCCTGTGGTTTACTGTGCTACTGTATAATTCATATTATATATAGTTTGCATATGTATATATATATATGGTGCCCCCCCCCCCACGTACCT